ATATATATATATATATATATATTGTAATTTGGGGAAAAGAAATATATACACTGAAAACGGAAGATTTTTTAAGGAATGAAAACGAAACTGAGAGTAAAAGGCAAAAGTACAAAAAAAAAAAAAAAAACATGAGAAGGAAGAAGTATGTTAAAACGAAAAAAATAAGTGTTTGTTTGTTTGTTTGTTTTTTTCCTGGAAATGATTGGGGGAAAAGACTGTTTGTATACAGTTGCACTTTTTCTTCTGGATACACTGAGAGTTTACTTGGTTTTTGATCTTTCTTTGTTTTCCGTGTTTTTTGTTGTTGTTGTTGTCTTTTGTTTTAATTGAGTTGTGTCAATATCCCTGTTATTATTATTATTATTATTACTGATATTGGTATTATTATTATCATTATTATTATTATATTATTTTGCATAGGCAAGTATTTATTGCTGGCAGAAAACGCTTGTTGCGATTGCTGTTTCTTGTACTGTGTAATATAATCTGATAAGAAATCGTAAAACGTGAAGATTGTTTTTCTTTTTTTTTTTCTTTGATAAGTAGAAGAAAAAGACCTCTTTTTTTTTCTTTCCTTTTTTTTTTTTTCTTTTTATGTATGTTTGTGTCTATCTATCTATGTGTGTGTCTCTTCCTTTATGTGGCACATGTTAGGTAATCATACTATTTAATTATGTTTGCATATATATCTGCATGAACAGAAAGCGAAAGAAAAGAAAAAGAGAGAAAGAAAAGAAAAGATAAAGAGGGGGAAAAAAAAGACTCCGTGAAAAACGGGAGTAGATGCAAAAAGAAAAAAGGCAAAGTCAATCAATACTATTTAGAGAAAGAATGAATTTCTCTCTCTTGTCTTAGTATTCCAATTTTTTTTTCTTTTTTTACTTTTTTTTATGTGGGGAATGGGAAAGGGTTTGAAAACGAGTCATAAATGAAGAAAACAAATATGAAAAAAAGAAAGCAATACAGTAAAACGGAAAAAAAAAGGAAAAAAAAAATGCATAAATCAGGTACGTCGTTTTATATTCACGCGTACCTATTCTATTTTATCCAGCTGAAACAGGTAATGATGTATATATATATATATATATATATATATATATAT